CTAGCAGAGAACACATACTGTTCCAGCACACCAACATCTCCTTATAATCTATGTGAGGTAGTAAATAGATCAATTCCAGCAAAAAAGATTGGGAGACTGGAGAAGCTTAACTTTCAAAGATACGGGTGTGGCAAAGAGATAAAGAATGGAATGCTGGGAGAAGGTTGTCTTTCTCCAGAAAATCTTTTGAGGGAGGATCAGTGACAGACCACCAGAGGAGCAGGAAAACTACCTCCTAGCTTGCCTGTACGTAAGTCCTCCGGAAACCAGCAGCTTTGCTGCTTGACCTTTTTCAGTATCATGATCTTAGGACAGTGATGATGGAGCCAAGAGGAACTAGGGGAAATTTGCATAAAATTGGATAAATCTTTGCCTTTGATGTCTCAAATAGATAGAATCATGGACTTACACAGTCGGAGTTGTTTATGCTTTTCCTGGGCAACATCCGTGAGAGGAATAGTGTCACTTTGGAGGTAGCCATATTCATTTAGTCTTACTTGGAGGCTGTGTGGCCTTAGAGTCAACACATACCTTTGTTGAGCCTCTCCTCATCTGTGAAATGGATGTGGATAATATTATGGAAATGGGAATGTGTGTGTCTAGAGCATAGCTACATTAGCAGTTTGGCTTATTGACTTTTGTGATTTGTAAAGTAAAAATATTTGTGATTTGTCAAAGATAATTAGTTGTATAAAGCGTAATGATCAGTCAAGGAGGAGCCTCGTATTGGCTTCTGACTTTCACGGGTTTCATCGTAGTCTCTTCTGTGTCAGAAGTCTCTTCTATGTCTCCTATTATGGTGGGAGTTTTGTGAGGCTTGGGGTGGAAGGGTGTGGTCAGCTTGGGAAGGTAGGCTGCTTTCAGAGTTTGGACTTTGGCATTGGGAAGTCATTGAATGCTTTTAAGGTGGGGGCACTGGATTAGATTAGAGAGAGAGAGAGAGAGAGACTGGAGAAGATTAAAAAAAAAAAAAAGCTGTACTCCGATGTGGAGTCTCCCACCCCTCTGCCATCGCCTGTGCCTACGGGTAGCTGGAGAGCACCGCCAGCCTCTTGGGCTGGTCTCATGTTCATGCCCCTACCTCCAGGGGCACTTTCCTGCTGCCAGATGGTCCTACATTAGTTCCTCGTCCATTTGTTCTTACGAGGTGCTTCCCTTGTCATGTCTAAGTGAAATCCTGTACTTGGACACTGGATCTCATCCCTCCATTACTCCACACATTTTTCCTCTCCTAAGTCAATTTTTCTTCCTCCTCTGGATCATCACCAGATCATAAAAACCTGCTGCTATTTTTTACCATTTTCAAAATTTTTCTCTACCCTTCTCCCCAACTCCCTTTTCCATTTCTTTTCCCTGTAAAACTCCTTGAAAGAGTTCCCTATCTCCAATTCTCTCTTGATTTTCCCTTTCCTTGTGAACGTCTTTCTCCGAGGGGTAACATCCATGGGGAAAGGGAATGGTCACTCAGCTGTTTTCACCACAGCTGCTTTTGTCAAGGTCATTGGTGATTCCCAGGTGGCACCGCCCGTGGACAAATCTCATCCCTTTCCTTTGTAACATTTGCTGCATGATCATTGCCTCTTCATTGGATGCATTTGTTTCACTGGACTTCCAGGATCCCATTTACCTTTTGCGTTTCTTCCTACCTCCTTGCTCTGCTTCTCTGTGTGTGCTGGTGCCTCTCCCACTCCAGCCTTCTGGGGAATGCCCCTGGGCCTAGTCCTTAGCCGCAAGCATTCCCTTGAGCGTCTCGTCCAGGTTCATGACTTTGAAATACCGTTTCTGTACCCATGACTCCCAAATATGTATCTTTGTCCGAGACCTGTCTCCTGAACTCCAACAGCCTCTCCCTGAAACTCAGCATTTTCAAAATCCAGACTGTTCCTTTCCAAACCCGCGTCACATGCAGCTTTCCCTGTGTCAGTTGGTGGCACTTCCAGTTTGTCCAGTTGCTCAGGCCAAAATCCCTTGGAGTCATGTTTAAGCTCCTACACCTCATATCCTGTAAGAAATTCTGTTTGCTCTACTTTGTAAACATCTAGAGCCTGAACTATCCACTCTCATCCCTTCCTCTCTCCTGACATGCTGCAAAAGTCTCCTGACAGATCTTCATGCTTCTCAACTTAGCAGCTACAGAGCCCTTCTCAAAGGTAAGCCTGATGTTGTCACTTCTGTGCTCCTTCTCAGGTAGAGTAAAGCAGCCGGAAATTCGTGTTTGGTGCCTGAGCATTGCCACCCACTGAGCCTTACCCCTCAACTCGGGGTGTAGCCTTCAAGGGGTCACAAAGTTGGCGCTAAAGAGTAGTGATTCATGGAGGTTGTTTAGTTCAAATTAAAAACAAAACAGAACAACACTATGCTGTTGGGGAGCCTTTGGGACACAATAGAGGTTGTCATGGGTGTTGGACTTGCCAGAAAATTCAGTCCTACAAAATTGTACAGTCAATGGACATCTCGGAGCCTTGGTTCTGTGTCCCTATTGTGGCTTTTGCTCATTCTTACTTCCACTTAAAACACTCTCTGCCTTTCCCCCATTTTCTGATGATGAACCTCACATGTCGCTTTTTTAAGGGATTTTTCTGCCACTCCCTCCCATTCCCCCCCCACCCAATGAATGATCTCCCCCCATGCCTTCATGCTTCCATTATTTAATCAATACTAATTGGATCCCTTACAATGTTTCAGGAATACAGCAGGAATACTATCTTAGAGGAGACTATGGTCTAGAATTGAGTACTTTCCAAGACCGTAGCCATGCATGGCTATTTAAATTAATTAAAATTAAATTAATTTTTTTTAACTTCTCAGTTGTGCTAGTTACATATCCAGTGCTCAATAGTCAGATGTGGCTAGCAGCTACTGTGTTACATAATACCCATGTCCTGGATTAACCCTATCTTTATGGAAAGTTCTGACAGTACAAGAGAGGGGGAATGAACAACACACACACACACAGAGTCAAGGGAATAAACGCTGCATAGAGAATTGAAATAGTGTAGTAGAGTGACTGATTGGCTATTTTAGACAGAGGGACCGGAGGGATGTCTGAGAAGGTGGCATTTAAGCAGGGGTTGAGAAGAAAAGGAGAAATCTGAAATTGGTGGGGTGAAGGAATGGAGATAAGGCAGAGGGCACCACTAGGGGAGAAGTCTTAACGTGAGGACACATTTGAAAGAACCCCAAATGGCTGGAGCCCTGTGGGAGGGGAGAGAGACACAGAAGAAATCTGAGAGGTAGGCAGGCGCCTGGATCACTGTGAGGGACTTTGTGAATTTGGGTAGGAAGTGAGTGCTTTTTTTTTGTTTTGTTTTGTTTGTTTTGTTTTCCGAGACAGCCATGGGAGTGTTCCAAGGGGAAGAGTGACACAGTCTGATTATATATTTACCATTTCCATCATTCTACCCGATTTTATTAGTTGCTTACTTACCAGTCTCTCCACCTGATTGCACAATCCTGGGTTTTTTCATTCTTAGTTTGTTGAGTCATGTCCTGTTAGCCTCCATATATGGATAATAACTGTGGTAGGATTGAATTAAATTAGAAAAATCCTTATCACTGACCTGCTGGGCTGTGGCTGAGTCTCAGAGTATAACAAAACTAGGCATGACATATTTTGCTTCCCAAATAAATATAAGGTATGACCTACTTCTTTTTGAAGCATTTCAGAATTTGTCCCCTCACTTTTGGTGGTGGTCAAGGTGGGGGTCAATAGTTTTCCCTCCAAGTGTATGAAGGTGGAGAATAAGAGCAAAACGCGTGTCCAGAAATGAGCGTTTCCCTTGTGAGAACTCATCTTGTTGCCTAATTGAATTCAAGTGTGTGGCATCGAAAAGCCAGGAGGGCTATTACAGATGATATAGTACAACTGTGTTATAGAAGAGGTGAATTTCAGCAACTAGGCCAGGGGACAGCCTGTGTGAAGTCCCAGTGTCCGGAAGGAACTCGTGTTCATGGAGGTGGAGCGGAGTCTAAAGCAGGGGCCTCCTCTAGCCAAGGCTTTCTTCAGACAGGGCTGGACCAGTCTAGTGGCAGGCTTGAGAGGGCACACTCTAAGGGCGCTGGGTGGTATGGGCCATGTATGGCCATCTAATTATATCTCATAACAAAGCTGAAAAGCTGAGTTCTCACAGGGGCTCTCTAGATTTCTAAATCTCGGCCATTAATTAAGAAATGAATTTTTAAACACTGTGGTACAAAGTACTTCTGTGGGCCAAATATAGTCTTTGGGCCACCAGTTTGTAGCATCAGGCTCTAGGTCTTTCTCCAAGTGCGGAGACTGCTGGAGTCCAGGGTTCGTGTTCCCGGGCAGCACAGGACCCAGTGCCAGAGTATATCCAGCCCATCATCCACATCTCCATGAAGCCTGTGATGGGCTGCAGGCAGCCTAGAAATGAGCATCAGTGCTTCCTTGGGAGGAAATTACTGAATCTTTAGACGAGAAAGGCAGTTAATGAAGTACTAGTCAGGCTTACACATAATTGTATGGCTCAATAATTAAGAGCAAAAATCAGAAGACCTGGGCTGGAATCCTGGCTCACTTAACCTCCCCAAGCCTCAGTTTCCTCCTCCATGAATGAGGTTAGTAGCAACACCTGCCTAAGGGGGTCTGTGAGGATTGAGTGCGTGTGTGGGTGCTTGGCATAGAACCTGCCACACAGTCAGTTCTCCAAAAATCTTGCTTAGCATTAATGCGTATTTAGGTTTCATTTTCAAAGGTCTCCCACATCCCTTTTGCTCATTATAACAATCCTTTGAGGGAGACAGAGCAAGCATTTTTAATGCTATTTCTACAAATGAGGAAATCAAGGCTTGAAGGCACTCAGTAACTGGCAGGTCTACCCAGCTTCGCAGGTGGCAGAGCTGGGATCTGAAGCCAAGTGTGGTCCAGAATCTGCTTCCTGAAGCATTCTCCTGTCATCACTCAGTAAGATGTGGTCTGAGTCATCACTTCCGTAACACGAATGGTTGGGCACAGTGATTAATTCTTGCTACTGGCAGACTTGACAGTATAACAAAAACTGGGGACTGATCATTGTAGCCACAGAGCCCAGGGTACCCTGCACTCACCAACAGGCCAGTTGATGCTCCTCTCAGAGGCCAAGGGTAGGTGAAGACTAGCCTTTGCTGTGATGTTCCCCTCATCGAACCTGCCTCTGGTTTCTTTCCCGTTTGCTCCCTTATTCCCTGTGTCGACATCAGGAGTCAGTTTGGACTCTGTGGGGAGGGAGCTGAACCTGAGGGGCTGCTCTCTGTTGCAAGGTGCAGAACCGTCAGCCACCGCGGAGCTAACCGAGACCTGCAGTTGTTTTGCTTGGTCTCTCATCGCTAACGGGGCAGGCTCATGTGATTCACCCAGTCAGGGCGAAAGGAGAAGTTGCGAACAGAATTAAGACTTGTTCTAAGACCATCTGGTAAGGGGAACACCTACCAGTCTGCTTTTTCTTTCTTTCAGGCCTTGACCATCATGCAACCTTGGGTAGCCATCTCCAGCTTCATACTACTTCTGACAGGTAAGTGAATAGGTGGGCTGGGATCTGGAAGTCCTGAGGATGGGAGAGTGTAGATGTGTGAGTGTAGTGTAGGAAGATGGATGTGCTTGGGCTTTGGTGGAAGCTAGTGGGTCAGCTAGTGAGCAAAGAACCAGGCTAAGTCTTACTCAAATAAATTGCTTAAATGCTATGAATTGCAAAATCCATGGGTAAATGAACCAGGCACAATGCAGAACAGTGTATCATATCTTGCCATTTGTGTTTGAACGAACAAACAAAAAGGGGTGGGTAGATAGCCCTGTGAGCATGGACTACTCAAGTGTATGTAAAACATAGTAACAGTGTTAGCATGGGTGGGAGGGGATGGGGAGAAGAGATTGGACTAAGATGGAAAGGAGACCAGTCCTTCACCATCTTTTGATTTTTAAAAAATGATGCGCAACAATCTCTTTTAAAAATATTTTAGTTCAAGCATTCCATGAGATAGAGGGGAAAGTTAGGAATTGACGTAATCTGAAATTTTAAAAACAATAATCTCCAGAAGTCAGATTATGGGGGAAAGTTCATTTCTTATTATAACTTGTATAACTTGATTTTTATGATCAGCATATTATTATATTTATAATCCAAAAATGATGTTAGGAAAAATGAAATATTATAAGAATTCAGTGAAAAAGTCATTTTCTAATTTTATGTAACAATGACCATTTTTATTCCCAAAGCGTTTCCCAAAGACATAGCATTACTAAATATGAGTGATTGGTGAATTTCCAATTTCTTTTAAGGGCTACCTTGACTGCATTTGGCACTATAGGGTTTTCATGCCACTGTTCCAGAAGAGACTTCTTGTTTTATTTTTTAAGTGGCATTATTTAGTACATGATCGAGTATTTTCCAATTCTCTCTTTTCACAGGGAAAGTGGGCCTTGCTCAATTGTGGGGCCGTTATATACTTAGGAGAAGGGGTCCCTATTAGATTTTTTTGGACTGATCCTAAAACCCCTGGTAAACCTCAGCTCCTCCTAGAAGTATTAGAAACACATTTTCTTTTCTTTTTTTTAAAAAAGATGCTATTTATTTATTTATTTTAGAGAGAGAGTGTGTGAGCAGGGGGAGGGGCAGAGGGAGAGAAAGAATCTCAAGCCGACTCCTCACTGAGTGCAGAGCCTGATGCAGGGCTAGATCTCATGACCCTGAGATGATGACTGGAGCAGAAACCAAGAGTTGGATGCTTAACCTATTGAGCCACCCAGGCGCCCCTAGAAACCCATTTTCTAAAAGTTGATTTCTGAAGAGTTTACTAGACTTCTGCCTTTAAACCAATAATACTTTTTTAAATTAAGTTTTTTATTTTAATTCCAGTATAGTTAACATAGTGTTATATTAGTTTCGGGTGTACAATATAGTGATTCAGCAGTTCTGTACATTACACAGTGCTCATCATGATAAGTGTACTCTTAATCCCCATCACATATTTCATCCATCCCTTCACTCACCTTCCCTCTGGTAGCCATCAGCTTGTTCTTTATAGTTAAGAGTCTGTTTCTTGGTTCATCTCTCTTGCTTTCTTACTCTCTCTTTTTTTCCTTTGTTCATCTATTTTGTTTCTTAAATTCCATATATGAGTAAAATCGTATGGTATTTGTCTTCCTCTGACTGTCTTATTTTGCTTAGCATTATATATACTCTCTAGCTCCATCCATGTTCTTGCAAATGAAAGCCAATAATACTTTAAACAAAGCATTAGCTCTGCTTTTCTTATAAGAGAGGTGTGAGGTGACTTCACTTGCAATAGCAGTTTAAAAAGTTGTATTAAGAATTAAAACTTTAAATGCAATAGAATTTTTCAAACATATTTTAATTGAGACAGTGACTGAATCTGGGGGAGGGGGAAAGCCACATGTATGTATTACCTATTTAACAAGCATACATATAACTGTCAGACATAGAATGAAATACACACTCATGTATTATTGGAGTGTCATTTGGTTCAAACCTTTTAGAAAGAAATTTGGCCATGTTCATCAAGAGACTGAAAATATTGCTGCCCTTTGTCTTGGTAATTTCTCTCTTAGATGTCTCTGCTATTCCTAAATACAGAAAAACAGTTTAAATTCTATTTTATCTACATATATAAAATAAATAATGCTTTTAAAGGATATGTTAATGTAAAAATGCTTATAATTTTTTAAACTGAAGATATAGAGTCCTATCATTACAAATGAAATAAACTGTGTAAAAAGAAAAAAGTGAAAATACATGTAAAATTGAAAGACTGAGGCCTCATGCTCTGTTTTCTCTTTATTTACAGATGCTGTAGTTTCTCACACTCAAGTGACTGGAGTGGTGGGTCATTCCGCCATGCTACCCTGCACCTACTCAACAGCTAATGGAGTCACAGCCATGTGCTGGGGCCGGGGGCCGTGTCCCATGTCCCATTGCTCAGATGAAGTGGTCTGGACGGATGGATCCCATGTCACTGTTCAGAAGCACCCGCGTTATAAGCTAAAGGGAAACATCTTAGGAGGGAACGTGTCTTTGACCATAGAGAATGTGACCCAGACTGATAGGGGTTTGTACTGCTGCCGTGTTGAGCACAAGGGGTGGTTCAATGATATGAAACTCACCCTATCATTGGAGATAAAGCCAGGTGAGCTTGTCTTTCCATCTTCCTTTGATCACTTCATATGGGTGAACTGAGACGTTTCCTGTTTGGTAGTAACTTTCTCTTCCTTTAATAGGGAAAGGGGAGGTTCCTCCAGTCTTGTTTTTCAGTAAGTATTGGAAAACAGAGTACCGTCTATTGGTATAAAATGAAGTGTTTAGACCAATCTTGAGCAAGACTGTAGGTGAGAGGATCTTTCCAGTCAGCAAACTATCTCCTAGAGCAGGGCTTCAAAAATGCTAGTTGGTTCGGGGTGTCTGGATGGCTCAGTTGGTTGGGCATCTGCCTTCAGCTCAGGTCATGATCCCGGGGTCCTGGGCTCGACCCCCAAGTCCTGCTCAGCTGGGAGCCTGCTTTTCCCTCTCCTCCCACTTTGCTATCTCTGTCTTTCTGTCTCAAATAAATACAAAAAAAAAAAAATGCTAGTTGGTTCATGAAAAATATTCAGTGTTCCATTGTGAAATAGAGTGAACATTCCTATGAAGCTAATTTGCTCAGCTTAAAGAACTGCCCTTTTTTTCTCTGAGATTATGTTTTAGAAGAATTTTTAAATGTCCTTAACATTTTAAAACTGTTTTGGAGAATTTCAAACATATAAAGTAGGTAATATAATATAGGGTCTTATCAAGTAGGGATATCACCCAGCTCTAACAGTTGTCAACTCGATCTAGTTGCATTGCATCGTAAAGGGATATATAGTTTCATCCTTCCCTCTGCTCTGCCTGGGGTTTTTTGAAGCATATTTCATGTCATATCACAAAATTGCTTGTTTAAAAATTAAAGGGACCTATTGCAATATGAAAACATTTATATCCCAACAACTATTCAATAGTTGCTTTTAAGAATTTGATGAAATTCAAAAATCTGTCTTGATGTGAACATCCTTATTTTTGTTACCTTGGATGAATGGAGTGGATTCTTCAGGATTTCCTGGTTTCTGGTGTTCCTTCCTAATGAATTTCCTTCCACTAAGCTCTGATTATTGACCATAGAACCCAATACCTGTGGCCTTAATAAACTGTGTGTCTTTTTCTTTCTCTTTCTTTCTTTCTTTCTTTCTTTCTTTCTTTCTTTCTTTCTTCTTTCTTTCTTTCTTTCTTTCTTTCTTTCTTTCTTTCTTTCTTTCTTTCTTTCTTTCTCTTTCTTTCTTTCTTTCTTTCTTTCTTTCTTTCTTTCTTTCTTTCTTTCTTTCTTTCTTTCTTCTTCTTTCTTTTTTTAATTAAGAGGAACTTGGTTTTGCAATCTCCCAACTTTTGGACTTGGTTTGTCTCTTTTGTGAAGACTAGTGACATAAGGGCAGTTCTGATGGAGAAAATAGATGACCATGGGGGAAATCATCTGTGGGAAGCAATTTAGGGAAGCCAAAAGAGGCTGGTGATAATCGTGTGCTCTAGACAGATGCAAGGAACAGCATGGGGAGAAAAGATCATGACTGCAACTTTTTTGGATTCATGAAATTTATTATTGGTTTTTCTGAATGTTAAGAATTGACATAGCCGAGAAATTAGTAGGACACTTGTGAAGTGCTTCGAAATTCTTTAATAGGTGGGCACTTACAAGGGCAGTGCTCTTGTCAAGTGGGAAGAGGGTCCTTAACTGAGCCAAGGAGACTGCCTCCAATAACCAATTCTTTGCTTAAGTTTGCTTGCTTTTTTCACCAGCTGAGCTTACTCTTCAAGCTTCTGTTCAGGCTTTTTTCCACTGGCATCTACAGTTAGTTTCCTTGCTTCTGCCTGGGGAAAATATTTGCCACTGAAGATACCAAGTTAATTAGGTAATTTGATTAGGTTACCTCCTCTTTATTGTTTCCCTTACTCTCCTTTGATCAGATTTTCTGCATATGTGCTTTTTCCCCTGTAGATTAGATTTTAAAATGGAAGGAGGGAATTGGATCGTACTCGCTAACTACACCTTAGATCAGGGTCAGTAGATCGAAGCCCCAGGGCTAGATCAGATTACAAAACAGGACTGCTGTTTTATACGTTTTTATTTGAGCAGCCATACCCATTTGATACATACATTGTCCACCGTGGCTTCCCCATAGGCAGAGTGGAGCAAGTGCTCCTGAAGCTTAAAGCATTTACTGTCTGCTTTCCAGACAGTAATTTTCCAGCAACTTTGCTGACCTCTGCTTTGGACTAATGCTTTGCATATAATAGACACAAATATTTGTTGAAAAAAGATTTTTCCTCCTCAGATTCTAAATTAAATTGGATCTTTCAGAAAGAAAGTTTTTCAAACCAACTGTCCCCTATTTACGTGACATGGGTTTTCTTTTGTAGTAAGTCAAGTAGAAATTTAAGGAAACTTTTTGCAGAGAAAAAAGGTGCCTAGTGAGATCAAAAGTATACATTCTTGATTCAGTCCTTCATTGGTTTGCTTTTGTTTGGGCTAACTTCTGGTTTTAGCTCCGTCTGGGTAGCCCTGACACATTCACTAAGTGATTTGGAATCCTGTACTGCTGCCGAATCTGGAAAGTGCCAGAGTCAATGTTACTAGCTGTTGTTACCTCTTAGGTGGGAAGGAACGCAAAAGGTCTAGTTTACCTTCTAACCAAATGTAGAAATCATCTGTGTGATTTATCTAGCATATGCTAATGGGTGTGAGTTAGTCCTCATTTAGGATGCAGGTCCCTCTTTTGGTATGCCTCCCTCAGGCCTGACTGGACTGAATGCTATTTATTTGGTAAGCATTCTAGGCCTGGGAACTACTGTTGAAGTCTTAGTCATTCACCACAGAGAGGATAAAGGCAGCTCCAGGTTCTAGACATTTTCCTTATCTCACAGATGTTTATGAAGATACAGAAATCTGATATGCATGACCGGTCTTTCAAAGTGCTTCAGTGCAAATCCCAGGTGACATTTTTCACCTCTGAACCCCCCCAAATATATCCTTTTAATGCAGCTGTTTCCTTTTTGCAAGTATGTCTTCAGAGCCCTCCTCTGTCACAGATTCTAGTTGACCAATGACAAGAACTCTGCGTTCAGGGAAGATCAGTGCCTAATTCTGCCCAGGGACAGTCTCTCATTGGTTGCATTAGTACGTGGATCCAGCTCTTGTTTCTTGCTGCTTGATTAATCCTTGCTTTCATGTTGGTTTCTAACTCCAGCTGAGGTCACCAGTGTTCCAACGTCACCTAGGGTCTTTACCTCTACTTCTTCAATGCCAGCACCCACGCAGAACCTCAAGCCAGGTAAACAAATGTGTTTCTTGAGTCCAGAGGTCTTCTAATGAGATGTCGACCATTCAAGGCATTATGTTAAGGCAGAAGTACAATCTAGGCTAAGGGTTCTTACCTGGGTTCCAGACATGGGCTTCACAGGGTCTGTGAACCCCTGTCCCAGATTATATGCACCCTTCTACATATAATCATTTTTAGAGCAAGGGAACTCATAGCTTTTGGTCAGATTCTCCAAGGCATTCATTATTAGCAACACCCCCCAAAAAGCGAGACCATTGATCTTAGACATCTAACAAGGGTGGAGTGGATTTGGCCCAGTTGAGCACAGGTTTTTGAGGCAAAAATAGGAATATCAGAGAATAAGGGTCAGGTTAATGAGATTCTGTCCTTACAAGGAGCTCTGAGTAGAGATCAGTTCGTCCATTCTGAAGCCAGATCTCCACTTGAGGATGAGATTTCAGTGAAGTTAACATTTACTCTGTTTCCTATGTGACAGGACCCATGCTAAGTGGTTTACAAGTATTATATTGCTTAATTCTTATGACAACCCCTATGCACTCTAGGTGTGATTCAATTCCATTTTATAGTTGTGAGAACTAAGGCACAGAGTCTAAAAGTTATATGGATAGAAACTACTCGAATCAGGATTCCTTCATGAATTTGAATTTTGGGCCTGTGCCCAAGTCGTTAAAGACTTGACTGTGCCTTCTGCCATGAGCACTGAGCTTATGTTCAGATGAATTTGTCTTGATCTGACATCCTCACTGAACAATCCTTTATACGATTACCCTGTCTTCTCTGGGCAGTCAATCTACTTACACAGTTTTGCTTCCAGCAACCTTTAATTTATTTATGTGGCATGGAAATAGCAAAAGATGCTATTTATACTGATGAAAAAGTAAACATCAGATTAAAGACTTCAGGGATTTAGAATTTACACGCCTTTTTTTTTTTTAATTCAGGCCACATGGTTCATACTTCAAACTTCTGATAAAGAAGAGCTTAGATTTAATACGAGTGGAGAATAATTTGACTTAAAGGTAGAGAAATAGCTTGCCATTCTGAGGACAAGGTTAGGTTCAAACCTATCTCTAGGATTAAAAAGATAACTTTTAGTGAAGATTCTTAAAGGCTCCAAAATTCTTTGACCCCTTGGGGTAACACTGGATTCTGAGGAATAACAGAGATGTCACAACCTCTTAGCCAGAAAAATCTGATGAAACATACTGATTTCCCCTGACTCCTATTGAACAATATGTATACTTAATCAGGAGGGATCTGAAGGATTCGGCTTTGAGCTGAATTTAGAAGAGAGGGCTTTAGGTTAAAACTGGGATTTTAGAGCCATAGAAGTTTGTAAGTAAAACAGCTCTGTTCATTCGAGGCAGCGGAACACACTAAAGAATCTGTTGACTTTCTCAATATTGATTTAGCTTTGTAATACTTAGTTTGTGCCTGCAAATGTGGGTGGATTAGTGGACATGGTTTGGTGAATATGCATGTTTAAAGCAAAGATTCGGAAGAAAGGTGTTGGCTTATATGTCCGTGTGACCTCCTCAGGGATAGTATTAATTGAGCCTTATCCTTGTCTTGATGGTTTTCTCATGAGTTTGAGTTAAGTTGAACAGGAAGGAGGTGCACGCTGGAGCAGATCCAACGTGGGGACATTTATCTTTACATCCACACTCTTCCTGTGCTTAGTGCCTCTTGTGTATACTAGTTGCCTAAAATATTCATGAAATGGTTGGATGTAAGGTTTTAGAAACAGGGAGAAAAGAAAGATGCCTGCTAAGACCCAAACTTGGAAAAAAAAAGTTAAGCCCAAGAGGTCTTTTGCACAGATCCAAGTTGAATAAAGTTTCTAATCACCTGACTTCATTGTATTATCCTGTTCTTAGTTCTTAACCAGAGCTACATCCTGTTATGGATTTGAGCATTAGAGAGAAGCAGGAAAATAGTTCAGAACATGAAAAAGGGTGATGTTGAAATGTGGAGGCCACTGTGGGGAAGGGAAAACAGAAAGACCAATGAAAGGCAAGAAAAGCCCAGGTTTGGGAATTCTTGTCCAGACAGCACCACTAACTTGCTCTAAAACTTGTGGTGCTCTAGGAGTAAAGTGTATAAAAATAAAATATTTAAAATGTTAATAAAATACACAGAGGCAAGTGATCAGTGCTGCATGTAAGGTGAGATATCTGACAAAAAATAAAGGAGTGATTTTAGAAAGGAAAGGGAAATTTCTAAGAGGAAGTTGGAAGGAATGAAAGTGGGTGGGTGCAAAGCATGCCTTCAGGGGATGGTTGAGTGTGGGCACTGCGGGGAAGTTGATGGTGATTCCTGATTTTAGTTTTGTTTTTTTCTCTTTGTTGGGGTGGGAATTTTCCTCTACAAAGAGAGCACAGCTCTTTCATTCTTTTCATTTCAGTAGCTACTTCATCTTTTACAGTGCAGACAGCAGGAACCCAGCCCACTGCGCCGCCACAGGAAACGAGCACAAGGCAACCCACCAATTCACCGTTGTACTCCTGCCCGACAGGTAACTTCATTTTCTTTCCTGGACATCTGGGCATACTCACGTTTGGGTAATCGTTGATGCATTGTTAAAAGACCACATTCTGAAAAAGGCAAATCTGACATGAATGCTCATACTGGCCACTCGAATCAGCCATGTGACTTGAGCAAGTGTCTTACTCATTTAGAATCTGTTTTTATCATTTGTGAAATGGATGGCATAACAACGATCTTGCTTTTGAGGATTAAATAGGGTGAAAACCCTAAGACATAGTTAAAAGGTGGTAAGTAATAGATACAATAGCAACTGCGACTCTTAGCTTTCAAAGTCCAGAATCCATATACCTGACTGGCCCAGGGAGCTTGTATGATTTGGGAACATCCACATGCATAATACCCACATGCAAAGCACTCTTTTTCTTATTCAAATGAACCACTCTTGACTCCAGACTTCTTAGTGGGCTTGCTCTCTTGGTCCAGAGCCATAAAACAGTTGAATCCAGCCCTCCATTATCCAGACCAAACTGGTCAACCATATTCATGCTTCATCGAAGACCCAGACCGCAAGTACATCTAGGAAGTTCCCCTGCTGCCCTGTGAGGCTTGCACATGGACATTTTGAGATGGGCTGAGGGCATCAGCACCACCACCAAGAGGCATATCTGCTCAGAATGTCTATTGCTTTCTCCATTTTTTTCCCACTGTCCCCGTTCTGGGCAGATCTCATATAATCTTTGTTTTTTGAAACCTAAGATTCACCTGTCTTTCCTGTGGTAGAGAAAGGTGATGCTAAATCCTCTCATTTGCCCCAGATAATTCTGTTACTCATGTTGGTGGTTTTGGGGAGTGCCACAGGCTGAACCCCTTTGTAATGTGGAGCTGGTTTATACGTGCTTGTGTCTGTGCTGAATCCAAACAAGGTCCAGCCTTGCAAGACTCCTCCTTAATGTCTGTGACTCATTGTGCTCAGGAGTTGCCAATCTGTAGGGGGCCCCCCTGCATGGCTTACCTTTTTGCCAATCATTCCTGGAAGCTGGTTAATTTAAAATGGACCTGCAGTGAGATTCACAGAGGGGCCTCTTCAGCTGGGATTAGATAATGAGGACATTTGGTTTTGAAAGTGGAATCCTTAGTGTGAACTGTTTCTGGGCACAAAAACAGAGTGAAAATAAATAGAAACACAAGGTAGCAGCAGTAGGAAGCAGACGTACTGCACACTTCTTGGGTTTGAGTGGGAAGTGCATCAGAGTAGGGAATCATAGGACTAAAACCTGGTCAAGGTAGAGCTTTCCAGAGTGGAACAGATATGGGAGCAGCTGTGGCCCCTATGACTTATGTGATCTTTGCCACCTTCGCTGTGTACCTGAGGGTCTCAAGCCAAATCCTTACTGTGCCTACGTCAACCTTCAGCGAACTGAAGACTCACAGGAGCAAAGAATGTTAGTTGGGTCTGGAAGGGATTTTGGTGCTCATATGGCCCGCCACCTACATTGGATAGATGTGTGTGCCAGGCAACTGTCATACGTTATCTCACTTAATTCTTTGAAGGCAGGTCTCGTTGATTGCCATCGCTAGATTAGGGAGGCCCTATAGCTCTGCTTTAGAGACAGGCAGCTCCCAATTCAATGGCCAGCTACTAGCTGCACGCCCATCAGCAAGATGTGGCATGTGTCCCTGGATGTTAACGATGATAGAAGGATATGATGTTTGGGAGGTGCATTACACAGTGTCTCTCTCCCTACTGCTCCCTCCAATGTAACATAATAATTAATAAAAGCTAATATTTATCAAATATGATGTTCAGTCCTTTACTTACACCATCTAATTCGACAACTTTATGAGAGGGGTACTGTTATAGCTTGTAGTTCTAGCTATATTTACAAAATCGGTATTTCAAAACTCTAGTAAAGCTTGAACCATCGAAGCTTTAAGGTATAATATCCTTTTATATTAGGATTTTTGGCAATATAAGATTAATATTAGTTTCACAGCTGATATAACAGATATTTTATAAAATACTTCTGGATCAAAGTCTGGGCACATTGGCATGTAATGTAGGAGTTATATACCACTTGTTTTAGATCTCTTAGTACATTTTACTCACGTTCTGAATAAAACCAATGGAATATCCATTCGGAATAGAGTGGTCCTGATCTTTGGATGTACATGTGGCCTTTGGGGAACTCATTGACAGGTTCTTAGCTGGCATGAAAATATTGATTACCTACCATTAAGTGGCATTCTTAACCCAGTTCCAAAAATGGGCCTCTGTGATTCCCCTAAAACTGTAGGTAAAACTTTGTGTATATATGCATTTTTTTTTCCATAAGGAAGACTGTCCATTTTTGAAGGGTCCAAGACAAAATGGTCAAGAAACAGAACCTTACAGGATAAATTAATACAGCTTAGTAACTTGGTATGACTTTTGCAATGTCTGCAGCATTTGGCCATATTATTATTCAACTTTTCATTCACCACCAGAAGGCAATGCGAATATATTTAGTATCTACAGTGAAAATTCAATATTTTTTGTAATTATAATTAATTTTCTTTCTTGTTGAGCAGATGGGAATGGCACTGTAACACAGTCTTCAGATGGCCTTTGGCATAGCAATCAAACTGTAAGCATTTTTCTTCCTACTTTATTAGCCAGATTCACTTGTATGTCTCCCTGGAAGCAAGTTACATTTAGAGATTATTTCTGTAAGACTAACCCAAAGATTGATTCTTTCTAGTTAAAATAAAAAAAGAAGAAAATAATTTGACTCAAATAGGGATACTTTAATTAATTTGAAAAGTTCATATAGGTAGGCTGGTTTGTTAGAGTTTGCCTGATAAACGACATATACATACCAAACATACTACAGACTTTCTCCTGGCCAAAAATTAGGAAGAAAGAATGAACTAATTCAAGAGAATGAGTTAACTAACCAAGGAAGACTTCAGTTATCATTAGGGAAATAACACACTTTGAATCAGTGGAGTGGAGGCCACCCAGAACAAAAATACTGTGTCAGCGAATGTGAGTTTGCTTAAGCAGATCCTCCCTCATATTCTTTTCTAACCCAGTTGCCATCCTTTATAGAAATTTTGAGGCCACTGTTGAGTTTTTCTATACATAAACCTCCCCATATGATGTCTTATTAAGGTATTAACATCTTAAATAAATTTGTGATTAAAAAAAAGATTTTATTTGAGAGAAAGAGAGAGTGAGAGAGAGCATGAGCAGCGGGGAGGGGCAGAGGGAGGAGCAGACTCCCCACTGAGCAGGGAGCTAAGCAAGGAGCCAGACATGGAGCTCAATTCCAGGACTCTGGGACCGTGACCTGAGCCGAAGGCAGACTCTTAACCGACTGAGCCACCCAGGCACCCCATATAAATTTGTGACTTTGAAAGATGTTCTTATACTTTTTCCACAGTGAGCTTGAGACAAATCTAAGGGGTCTTAGTCTCATGATGCTCATCAAAGTCTCATCTTTGCAAATAAGTTAGACAAATTTATCAATGGGACTTTTTCTTTTGGTTCCTCTGGGAGAAATAAATTTCCTTTTAGTATGTGCAAATAACTCTCAGGAACAGCAAACAAAAAGAGTTTGAGGTATGAGAATAATCTTACTGGTCTCAAGTAGTGAGAAATGACAACACAGCCATGATAAGAGAAATTCAAGCTGAGGCATGGTGGGGTTATTTAGCGTGGGGTCAAGTGGCTTTATGTTGTATACATCAGTGACAATAAGAACACTACATAGGAGAGATATAAAAATTTTGAACAACTTATGTGGCATGGACACTGATTGATCTAATGGATATGGGTTGACTTACTGAATGTTGGAACTGCCACTGTGTGCATGATTCTTCTATTGCTATGTGGCCAGACCTATGCTGGATTAAAAAAAACAAAACAAAAAACCCTTCTGAGTGGTGAGATTGTTCTTGACCTCAGTTACCTATAGACAGGTATGTTTAGCAGCAAGTAGAAGCAGTTTAGAAGCAAGTTCACAACAGGCAGCAGTGAAATCATGGGCGTTCTGTGTCTTGGCTCTGAGGATGTTGAGAGATATCCCACATATTTTGAAAACATGCAGCATATATTTTGACCCAGTAGATCAGCTTTCTGGACTCTATTTTAAGGAGAGAATTGAACAAGTACATGAAGATGTATGAGAAAAGATGTTCATTGTTGCTATTTATAATCATGAAAATGTTAAAAACAACTTAAATGTTTAATAGTAAGAGATTAATTAGTCAATTCAGTGTGCCTGCATACTGCCATTAAGAATGCAGTCACTGCAGTGCATTTACTGACATGGGAAGACAGTTACTACTGATTAAGGGAAAAAAGCAATTGTTAAAATAGTGTGTGTGTATGTGCGCGTGCGTGCATGTGTGGTAGCATATATTGAATATAGTAATTGTTTATGTTAAGAAAAACACTAGGAGGATAAAATTCTAGAAGAGTATATAATGAAAAATGGTAATAGTGTTTGTTCTGGATGTTAGGATTATGGTTTTTTTAGTTTTCCTTTTTTCATGCTTAGCTGCACATTCTAAAATGAACATGTAGTGTTCATGTCATATTTTTAAAAATGAAAGCAAAGCCTCCCTCCTGCAGCCCCATGTTCCATCTAACCACTTTACTGCCCATTGATAAGGTAATGATAGCACAAGCTCTTCCATCCCAGACCCTGGCTGTTTCCCCTTTGAGCCCAAACACTAAGTACTTTCCCTTATCCCTATCTTCCTCATGGTATTATCAGGGGGTACCTAAAAGTACCTTTCCCAAGAACCCTGTTTAATCTGTAGTTGACAGACACAAACACAGAGGTTCAGAGAGGCTGAATAACTTGTCCAGGGTCACACAGCAACTAAGTCGAAGAGAGGAGATCCTGACTCCAGAGATTAAACTTTTATGCAGGAAGAGACTTGATCCTTCTCTCTGATCTTTTCTGTTAAATACTGACCCTCTGGGATCTCTTTGGGATTAGAGCTAAGCTATGTAAAAGGGCTGAGAGTGATGCTTGGCGTATTTCAGGCTTATTCCAGAAGGTGGTGATCCTTTACAAACTGCACTAAGATGTTTAAACAAATTTCTGCATCTCTACCCAATTGACAGCATTTCAGGTTGGTTGTTAAAGAGGGCCATGTCTGTGAGCACCTACTTTCAAGTCCATTTATGTAGACAAAGGGTCTTAAATTATAGCTTAAAAAAAAAAAGGACTATAATCAAGGACCAATTTCAATAACTGAGCATATTCAGGTAACATCACTAGGTCAACTTATATATGACAAAAATTATGTTTTCTTTTTTAATATCAGGATATATTTATGGAAATAGCTTATTGATTTTTAAAAATATGTATAATTTACATATAATAAAGTACACCCATTTGAAGTGTACAGTTTGAGTTTTGAGAAATGCATACACCTTTGTAAATACCACCCACTCAAGATACAAAACATTTTGACCATCCCCAAATACATTTTGAATTTTAAATGGTCTTTGAATTTCACCATATGGTTATAACCTTGGATCACTTGGTCTTATCTATCTTGAGCCAGAAATAGCCAAGGGCCAACAAAGATAAATGGTCCAAGTACATTATTTTAGGGAATTTTTTTTTTTTTTTTTTAGAGAGGGAGAGAGAGAGCATGGGTTGGCTAGGTGGGGAGGGGGCAAGTAAAGGGGCAGAGGGAGAGGGAGAGAGAAAGAATCTTAAGTAGGCTCCACGCCAAGCTCGGAGCCCAATGTGGGCTCAATCTCATAACCCTGAGATCATGACCTGAGCTGAAATCAAGAGTCACATGCTTAACTGACTGAGCCACCCAGGGGAATGTCTTCTATCCATAACTCTAACAAGATGCTTTTCTGATCCACCGATGTTTCCTTAGTATGTGTCGCTGGCACAAAATCCATGGATGACCACCAGTAAGGGACTCTACATTGGCATCTGCATTACTGCTGTGGTATTGCTCGCTGTGTTGGTTGTCGTGATTACCAAAAGTAAGTTATTTCAGGATTGTACCTAAGGGAACAGAGCAAGGGGTCTTCGAGGCAAACTGCCATGTGATTGAGATTTCACATAAATTTCTGTTTCCTAAACTGTGCTCTTTTTTTAAATTATTGACCTACAAAGAGAAAGATGCAATATAAATTCTCCAGACGTGGAATTAAATATTAAGAAATGAGAATGTTTTGGGTAGACTTGGGATTTGGAAGGCAACAAACCATATATGATTTGTTCACTCCTTTTCCACTCCCCTCAAGAACCAGTTTTTGTCCCCATGAGGAATGATGTTGTTGAGTTTTATAAGACCCATTTAACAGGAGAGGCAAATGAAACATTGGAAGGGAAACTGACTTCAGGGCTAGGGCTAGAAGCAGGGCTTCAAAAGGTAGCCATCCAGCTGTTGTGTTTGGGTGTATTGTGTGCGTGTGTGTGCGTGCATGCGTGATGTGTGTATGGGGGTGTGTGTGTAATGTGTGTGTGATGTGTGTGTGCATGGTGTGTGGTGTGTGTGTGTGATGTGTGTGTGTGGCGTGTGTGTGTGTGTGCGGTGTGGTATGTGTGTGTGTAGCCTGTCTACTATGAAAGAGCCACAATCATTCATTTCTTAAAAATGGTATTTAATTATTAATAATTACATTAAAAGTAAGCCTGAGCATCTGGGTGAATATACTAAACCATTCATGAAAATGAAATACTTTATACTCAGAAATTTGTTTGCGTCTTACTGATTCAAAAGGAGTTACCTGAGTAACTTGGGAATTGTCCGGTCTGGTTTTTTTTTTTAAACATTCTTTCTTCTAAATTTATTTTTTCAGGCTCTAGCTCTGTACAGATTTTGTTCATAGGAAAGTAATAGAAATAATATACTTGTTTGAAAAAAGATCTCGTAAACTCTTTGGCCAATGTGTTTAATTTTCTTTTCAACTCCTCTCCAATTTAGAATACTTATGCATAAGAAACAAGCTGGAACAACTAAAGTAAGTTTGAAAGAGTTTGTGTCAATACCTTTTGATATTTCTACTCTACCAAAAATAAAGAAAAATCTCTCTCTGTCCTCTTTTTCTCCTAAACTCTTCATTTTATACCCTAGATCCTGAAAAGTCTAGCTTAATGAGCACCTCTATTGTTATCCACAACTTCTAGTGATATTTTTAGCTATCTATATTTCTCTGGAATTGTCCCCTAACTGCTACAGAAGGAGCATCTCAGTCTTAATCTCTTAGAGCAAGAGATCACAAATTTTGTTTGATGGAACATTTGAATGCGTTGTTTGGTTTGTTCTTTAATTTCATTCAGTGCTTTGTTTATTGAATGTTTATTGAATGTCTACTATATTTCAAAGAGATGAACAAAACAGAAAACACATAAGCAAATAAACAGAGTCCTTTTAATGCTTCTAGACAAATGCCATGGGGGAAAACAGAGCAAGGTAATGGGCTATTTGAGGGAGTCCTGAAGGAACGGAAGGCAGCTCTGCAAAGATCTGGAAGAAGACAACTCCAGGCTGAAGAAGTGCAAAGGCACTGTGGTGGGGCAAATGCCTTCAGCTCTCCACAGTTCCTGTCTTCCCCTGCTGTTCCATTCCCAGCCTGTTCTGCTCATTTGCATTGGTTATCTGGCCTCATAGGCATTGGAATTTACAATTTTTGTAAATCCACCCTACTGCCCAATTAAAACTTAAATCCCCTTTACTTGCATATGGCCTGTGGTCTTCTGCTAGAATAGTTACATTAGTAGGAAGCCACTACTTACTTCCAAATCCAAGTAGCTTGCTTCATTTGGTACAGCTTGGGCTTTAAGCAAGGTCTTTGATTCAAAATCCATCCCTCTTAGATTGCCACACATTATTTCTAGTGCTCTTTCATTGGATGTTTGCACACAGTCTTTCCTAGATCTGAGTTAATTACATGAGCCAATCTGCTGAATGCACCTTGAACAATGCCCAATGCATTGTAAGTGCTCCGTAAATCCTGGTTTTCTATTATTGCAGTTACGCTTATTGCAGCAATACACCCAAAAGATGGGCGCTATTATTCTCAGCGTACAGACTGGAGAACAGGTTTAGAAGTGTTAAGTGACATCCAAAGTCACACCACACAGCAGTTAAAAAACTCAGTCTTAGGTCTCTTAAAGCCCCACACCCATACTTATAGAAGTTTTTGACTATGTGCTTCCAAGAATGGAAGAAAGAAATTGTTCCTAACAGGCAGAAAAGCATGGAACGTAGCATCTGTTTAGCTGATCTCTGTTCTTTCACTGCTAACTTTTCCTAAAGGCTTTTTATCACCTAATCATAAAAGAAAATAGTTACTGTAGAAAATCTTATGAAATATATAAAAAAACCAAGAACAAAAAACCCTGAGCATTCTTCGTAACTTTACTTTTTTCGTTTTTTTTTTTTTTTTTTTGCAGTTATATCACACTGACTCATTTCAAGCTCCTGACACCTAACCTGTTCTCACACATGTGTGAGTGGTCACTTAAAGATCAGAGCTGAGTGAAGCCTCAGTATGTTCCATTTTCATTTCTGGGCAGGCTTAAGTAATAAAAACAGGTACTCTCTACCAATTAGAAAACAGCAGCTGTATCAAAATGGCACACATGCCCTTTCTGTACACTTACTGTATGAGTGTATGTGTTACGAACGTTGTCTAACCCATGGCTTTCAAATTCGGATCATTAAGATACTATGTTTTCTGTAAGATTTCTGACACCCTCATCCAGTACACACTTAGTGAAGCAATACTATTTTGCTGTATCCAGTATGTTCGGATATATTTTGTATTCTGTGTATATCCTAAATGCAGGTTGTAGACTGCTAGATAGATTTAATGACCCTCTCTGGAAGAGTACAATCCACAGTTAGAAAACCAGCAACCAAACCATTTCTTAGTTACCCTTGAGAATAGGCATCTTGATTGAGGACTTCAATTCGATGTCTGACACCACTCTTCTTAGATTTTCAATTTTTGTATTCTATTGCATGAGTTTTCTCAAGGAGAATACTTAGGTTTTCTACCTGCTTATTAGACTCTCCAGCCACTTAATATGGATCTCCTATTCACTATTTCATAGGGCTCTGGGAGTTGCAAATACTAAACCTTGCCTGCATGTACATAAATGTGCTCATCATACTTTAGAAGTGGTCTGCTTTTCCTTAAAGACTCATGTTATTCTTTCTGTAGCATGGTTTCATTGAATGACCCTCGGACTGGAGCTTTGCAAAGTGCAGCTGAAGTGGGTGTCCGAGCAGAAGACAATATCTACATTATCGAGGACAATCTTTATGTCATGGATTAAGACCCAGTGGCCTTCTGAGGATTTATGTCCTTGGCTTCAGAAGACAGTGACAAGATATCACCATGTCAGAGTTCTTTTAAGCTCTAGAATGATTTTTCTGTCAATTTCCAATGATATTCCAACATGTCAGTTATGTTGGGTAGAGTGACTTTGGTTCATCTGTGTACAGTCTACCTCATTGGTCACAGAGTTTTAATTTTTTGTGCTAAAACTTGTTCAGGCTTTCTCCCAAACATGAACATATTCTCACTGGTGAGACAGGAGAAGAACTACCACCTTGGTCACCAAAGCTGTCAAGAAGAGCAGACTAGGAGTTAAAATCAGTAAATCTGATTTGAGACTTAAAGGACTTCACTTGGAAGCATTTCATGATAATCTCTTGTTTTTTACCTTGTAACTCCCAATGTTACATTTCTTAGGTTCCCCAAGGCTTTCAAATCACAGGGGTACACAGGTCTTTATTTCCCCATGGGGAAATAGAAGTGAATGTGATTTCACCATTATAGGTCAATATGATTTCTCATGGCTCTGGAAATATACCATATTAAGGCTTTCCTTGGACCCAAAGTGGGTATTTTAGCAGTTAGGAGAAACTAGGGTAGTAAGTGGACAAAGTAGATACCAGGGAAAGATAATCAGTTGCCATATGATTTATTGCATGCTATTTCTGCTACATCTGTTCCACAGTTCCAAGCACTTGTATAGACAATTGTCATGCTCTCTGAACTAATTTTTAGAATGAGGCAGGGCAGAAATAAATAGAAGAAAAAAAGGGAGAAGGCTAAAAGGCTTCCTCCTTTAGAATAGTTACTTTGCAAATATAATAGTGTTGTTTGAGAGTGTCACTAGTTTGAATCAAAATTCTAAATTGTCCTCAAACCCCTGCAATTTTTAAAATTGTTTTGGAAAGATGAAGGGTGGTTTTTGTTTTTTTTTTAATAGCAAACCAGTTCCAATGCTATTCTTTTTTCACAGTTCAATTAAATTTTTGGTTTTTCCAAGAGTTAAACAAAGGCTAATGGCGAGGATATCTGTGGTCACCAGAAGCTTTGCTACGTGAACAGTTGAGGAGGCTGGGTATTAATTTCAATCTGAGTACACCCTGAAATAACTCCTGCTTAGGGTTCAGAGTTACACCATAGTGGTCTAAGAGGGCAGGATGTTAGTTTATTTCTGAAGACAACATCTTTGACATTGTTCTGCAGAGTCCTAGGAAATGGACAGGACCTCTGAATAAAGGTTATATGGGCAAATAAGATTGTTAAACATGCTATACTGGGTTTTCTAAATGGGGCCAAGACCTGATCTGGCCCAGGGCATTTTGTTTAAACTGTAGTGTTTTTCTTTTAAAATTCAAGATAACATGCATGAACATGGAGCTCTCAGATTAAAGCCTGGATTTGTAGCTTCTCTGGAAAGACCTGGCAACATTGGATGGAATTCCTACATTGTCAGGGCCCCATTAAATGGTGCTACATCCCTTCTGCCCCTAGTCCTCGCCTTGCCTGCACACACACACGTTTGTTCCCTGCTTTGTGACTGGGACTTTGAATTTATGACAGCCCTATTCTCCATTCCCTTCCTGGAGATTTATAATGCCACATTAAAGTTCTGGGAGTCTGGTTAATTCTGTTAATCCAGCATTTTCAAAATTTGCTTGAAACCCATGAACATGGTGACTCCTGGCCTATCCAGTAGCATTCTGTGAAACAATATATAAGGACATGTGGGAAAGGAGGTGGTACACAGAATTAGGACTAGGACCTGAGTTCTAGTCTTAACTCTCAACAGAAACACTGGATGACATTAGGGTAAATCTTTCTTGTTGCCTACATTTTCTAATCTATCAGGAATAGGGTGAATCTTTCTTGTTGCCTGCATTTTCTAATCTATCAAGCATAATTATGTCCATAATTATATTGGTGTGTAGCAGTAATTCCAATGACACGTTACTTCAAGTCTTTGGAAAGTAGAAAACACTACAGAAATACAAAGAGCTTTTTTTTTTTTTTTTTTTTTGGTTGAGTTTGCAGTAATAGATTTAGCCTTAGCGCTCAGTAAATAATTTCAATGGTGTTGCATTCATATGTCTTTTGCTATATGGTACTTTTTTGGGGGTGGGTGGGTGGGAGTAATGTATCTTTTTTGGAAAAGTTGATATTGGGTAATTTGGCTAATTTTATACTGTAGAAAAATGTGTACTGTAGAGGATGAATAGGTGGGAAGAGGAAGGGGAGGTATTTAGTTAATACTTAATTCTTTTCTGTGACTATATCCATCTTGTAGAATGCATTGACTTTTGTTTTCAATCCTTTGAGACAATTGAGGTTCCATTTTCTATAATCTGTCTTGAGACATTAGGACACTGGTGTAAGTAAGATATTTAAACTTGGGAAATTTTGTACGTCTCCAAGAAGTAGCAGAACCAAGCTTTCACTAATGGCTAATCACTAATCACTAAGATAATTTTGTGAGTACATGAAAGTATGAGGGACTCTTTGTGACTAGTTTCATTTGTAGGTACACTCATTAATAAAAGAGATTTTTGTTTTCATTTTGAAAATTGACTTGTTGCTTTCTCAGCTTCATCTGTTAGTTGGAGCCTGGCATCTTCAACTTGCTGTGGACTCCCAGGAAAAGGGCAAGTGGGGCAAGATTTAACTCCAGTTCCTGAGGAGCTCCAATTTAGTAGGGGAAAAAACCCCCAAACTATCAATTCTGGTACTAATTAATATGGAGGGGAAAAAGAAGATGGTGGTAGCTGGGCTTCTCAACTATGGCATTTGGGGCCAGATAACCCTTTGTTATGGAGGTGGTCCTGTGCATTGTAGGATATTTGGCAGCATCCCTGTCCTCTTCCCACTGGGGGAGACAGTTGGGCCCCTCCAGCTGCAACAACTATAAGTGTCTCCTGAGAGGTACTATCACCTCTGGTTGAAAGCCACTGAGAGAGAGACCTGGAGGATGTGGGTGTTGTGGGGAGTGGGGTCACTTTGGCTGGGTTGGTTGGTCAGGAGCTGCCTCTGAGTAAGAGGTGACATTTAAGTTGAAACCAAATAAATGTGTAGGCAGCAGCCTCTTCAGGGAGTCCGCCAAATGCAAAGGCCCTGCGTCAGGAAGAAGCTTGCATATTGAGAGAGTGAAAGCAGGGTGTGTTCTGGGGACTGGAAACCAGTATGGCTGCAGCAGTCACCCCCCAGAGGACTGGCAACAAATGGCGCTGGAGAAGTGGGCACAGTAACTGGCAAGATGCTGGGTGGAAAGGGCTCTACGAACACATCTGTGGGAGGAGTCCCACTCTTGGAAAACAATTGCATATTTGGGATTAAACCTGCTATCCATCACCAAATTATATTGTAAAGTGCCTTAATGTGCTTCAGTGACACTGTTCTCAGATCAGACCTTACCAGTTAGTTTGGTTGGGGTAACAGGAGAAGGGGAAGGAGAGGGGAAGGGAGATGCATCCTGGCAGTGAGGTGCTTCCTACAGGGCTGTGTGAGGGCACCCAGGCCTAGCAAGAGGCATCCTGGAAGAATGGGGATAGGGTGCCAGTTTGACTCCTATCACCCTGGGCCTGGCAGCAGCTGGACCCACTCCTCCCAAACTTGCTGCTTTCAGTGGTAGGGTGGTGCAGGGGCGCCTTCAGCTGGCCCATAAGAAATTTTTAAAATAGTTAGGTTTTGATGTGTGTTTTTGGAAAACAGTGCATTAAAATTGTGATGTAATGGATATTGTTTAGGATGACTACAATTTTACAGTTCATCTAAAACAACTTGAGTCAAATAGCCAAAGGGGCAATGTGAGGATAGCAAAGGTCCTGTAGATGCATGAAGTCAGGGAGGCAATAGGTTAGATCAGCTGGGAGGTTATTAAAATATGGACTCCTGGGCCCTATTCCTAGAGATTCAGATTCGTAAGACAGGTGGGACCTAAGTATTTATTTATTTTTAAAAGCTATATTTATTGATTTGAGGGAAGTTGAGGAGGGGCAGAGGGAGAGGGAGAGAGAATCTCAAACAGACTCTCCACTGAACACAGAGCCCGATGTGGGGCTTGATTGCAGGACCCTGAGATCATGACCTGAGCCAAAATCAAGAGTCGGAAGCTTAATCGACTGAGCCATTCAGGTGCACCTAAGTATTTTATTTTTTGTTTGTTTAAATTACAGAAGACAGGCTACTACAAATTATTTCACATTTCAACCAAAATACTCAGATTTCATGAAAGAGTATGTAGAAATAAGAGCATGTAATTGTCCTTCTTTTCTACCTATTTCAGAAGTGACTCTCAGGAAATGAATGCAGCAACTTTAGAATGGATGGGTATTTTGATGCCAGTTTTGAGGATAAATAAAATTCCTCAGAGTCCCCCACATATAGGAAAACCATAAGAAATGTAGGGGAGGCATATCTACACTGCATTTCATAGCCTAGTTTGTGCAGAACTTTCTTCTGGGTTCATAATGCTCTCCAGAAGGAAAGAAATAACAATTTGTCATTTGTTCTTCCCCTGGTCAAGGTCTTTCGTCACTTGATTGTGGGCTGCTTTAGATACACATCCTCCCAAGACCTGGTTTCTTCTTTGGCTCTTGATGGCCTAACAGAAGGGCAGTCCTCCACCCACAGCAAAGGCAATGACAGGCGACAACAACAAGTCGCTTTGATGTGGCATGTGAGCATGGTGTACATAGGGCTGTGGGAGAGTCTCATCATTAGGACTCCCAGGAATCTAACTGTAAAGTTCCCTTGGGCCTCTGGAGGGCCCTTCCAACTCTGACTTAGAGTCTTTGGTTGCCATTAGTGTCTTTCCCCACTCCCTCCCGTCCTTCCCCCACAGGGCCATCAGTATAATCTAAAACACCGAGATCTGATTGTGTAGCATGTTAGCCGAAAAGCTCCCACTGCTCACCAGCGGGTAGAAGTTCCACTTTGTCATAAGCCCTTCCCCAGCTTCCTTGTCTGCCTCGCGCAGCCCCTCTCTGCTGTGCTCCAGGGGATAGAAATGCCTCGGATACCCACTCTGTACTCTGTAGGTCAACTCATCTTCCAGGAACACTTGTCTCCTTCCTCTCCACTGGCTATGTCATCCTTTAAGGCTCAGCTCAAGGGTTACCTCTTCAGCTTGTCTGGACTCCATCCTCCTCGACAGTTTTATGAATACTTCTGTTCAGCCCTTTTGCTCACTCAGGGAATATAGTGGAGTGCCTCGCCAATGCCAACCATGGTGCTCACGCCTAGCCCAGCACCTTATTCTGCATGATGCCAGGACCCTCCCTAGCATGTGTGGCATCTTTGAGTGAATTAGAAACAGGCTCCCTCTTCCTCCTGGCTGACACGGCTCTGAGCCAGGGCAGAGACCTGTCAAATGGAGCCTGTACAAACTACAACCAAAAATAGTGACCCTATAACTCAGTCCTTTGTATTAAAGGTGTTTGGTTGATAATGCTTTTTTTTTTTTTGATAATGCTTTTTATACTGAGTTCTTTGAGGGAAGTATCTAGTTTCTTAGCGCCTAGCATTCACATGTAGGTGCTTAATACATATCTGAGAACAGGAATGAATAAATTGTCTGAAAGAACATTTCCTAGAACCTTCCTGTATGTGCTGGGATGGGGTGGGGAAGGGAAGAGTGTCTTTAAAACTCGTTTATGAGATAGAAACAACTCTTTTCATATGACTGGCTGGAGTGTAGGAGTCTCTGTGAATCTCAAGGACTCTCGGAGACCAATAATTTGCAACCTTGGCTATAAATTATAATCACCTGCAAAGCTTGGCCAACCTACTTGTGCCCCGACCAATTGAATCAGAATTTCAGGAGGCGGGGGCCCAGATGTTATAGTTCTTCAATCTCCCCAGGTGGTTTCAATGTACTTTTGAGGTTGCGAACCACTGACCTAGAGAGAGGGGGAGGGAAAATGATAGCATGTTTTCTTGTTCTGTGTGACCAGTGCTCTGGAAAACATGACACAGTACAAACTAAAACAAGAAAATATCAACAATGGGCTGGGGCAGGTGAACAGCCAAGTAGGAAAGGGCATGCCGCTGGGTTAACAGCAGACCTGTCCTTCCTGGCTTCCATGGCAACAGCATTATATTGGCAGCCCTGGGAATGAGAAGTCTGGATGCTGCCATGCTTTTGTAAAGCTTCTCAGGAAGTTGGCCCATGGCTGTCTAGCTGACTGTCCCTGGGCCTCCTAAGAACTAAATGTTTTCTTTCACAAGTTGTAAAAATAAACAAAGAAGAAAATCCCCTTCGGCCTGTGAGGAAATGCTCTAAGGTAACCTTTGTTTTGTACTATGGATTGCTGAGATGGGGTTTGTTCTATCTGGCAGTTCCTGCACCTTGGATGATGGCCGATTCACACATTTCTCAATAGACTATTTTTTTTTTTAGAGCAGTTTTAGGCTCACAGCAAAATTGAGCGGAAAGAATAGAGAGTTTCCATATAAGCACCCTCCTCTCTCCTAAACATGCATTCTCCACCATCAACAGCTCTCCCCAGTGTGGGACATTTGGTACAACTGGTGAACCAACACTGACACATCATTATCAACTGAAGTCCATAGTTTACATGAGGGTTCACGTTTTGCTTTGTGCATTCTGTGGGTTTGGGAAAAGGTATAAGGACGTGTATCACTGTCATAGTATCATAGAGAATAGTTGTACTGCCCTAAAAAGCCCTTATGTCCCACCTCTTCATCCCTCACTCCCTCCAAACCTGGAACAACCACTAACTTTTTTTTGGTCTCACCTTTTCCAGTACATTATGTGGTTGGAATTGTATGGTATGTGGTCTTTTCAGATTCACTTCTTTCACCAAGCAGTATGCATTTAAGGTCCCTCTATTTCTTTTTGTGCCTTCACAGCTAATTTCTTTTATCGTGGAATAATAGTTCATTGTTTTGATGTACCACAGCTTGTTTATTCATGGACCTTTTGAAGGACATCTTGGTTACTTCCAAGTTTGGGCAGCTATGAATAAAGTTGCTATTAATATTCACATGCAGGTTAAGGAACATATTTGATGGATTGCATGGTAAGAGTAGGTCTAGTTTTGTAGGAAACTATTAAACTGTCTTCCAAAGTGGCCATTTTGCAGTCCTGTCAGCAGTGAATGAGAGTTCCTGAGGCTCCACATCCTTGCCAGCAGTTGGTGCTGAACTTCAGCCGTTCTAGTAGGTATGTAGTAACATCATTGTTTTAGTTAGCATTTCTAATAACATATGATGTTGAACATGTTTTTATATGTTTATTTGCCATCTATGTATCTTCTTTAGTGAGGTGTCTATTCAGATATTTTGACCATTTTATAATCAGGTTGTTGATTTTCCTACTATTGAGTTTTAAGAGTTATTTGCATATTTTGCATTTTGCATTTGGTCATAACAGATACGTCTTTTGCAAAAATTTTCTCCCAATATGTGGCTCGTTTTCCCATTCTCTTGACAGCGTCTTTTGCAGAGCAGAAGTTTTTAATTTTAGTGTAGTCCAGCTTATCATTGTTTTCCTTACATGGATCATATCTTTGGTCTTGTATCTAAAAAGTCATTG